CCCACCCCACCGCTACCACCACTACCACCACCACCGCCGCATCGTAATCTGGACGATCTTATCCCACGCCACGACGGATCACGCTGTGGAGAGCGAAGACAGGCGAGGCTCCCCTCGCCACACGCAACCGCGCTCTACGGGCCTTCCCTACCGCGGGGCAGGGCATAGGGCGGGGCGCTGTGCTCCAGCGGGCCCCGCCCCGCCCGGCCAGGCCACGCCAACTCTTTTATCTCATTTTTACAGGATTTTTCCACGTCTATTTGCATGTTGACGGCACGCTTGTCGAGCTGCTTCGCCGCGGCCGCCCCTCCCTTCGAGCCTGAGGCCCTCCTGCAGTCGCTCCCCGCGCGCAACTTGTACTCTTCTTTTTATTTTAACTGCCGAATAGTGGCGGCTGGCCGTAAGCGCGCCCCTTCCGCGACATGCACCCTGCGACATGAGTCCCTGGGACGTGACACAAGCATCTCTCGTGCGGCGGCCGGCGACCCTCCCTCCATCGCGACGAGCTCCGACCGCACCATACCTACCCGCCATTAAAATAGGTTTGCTACGCTGCTTTTACATTTTAATGGGTGCGCATTAAAGAGAGCTGAGTCCGTGGGCCACTATTCCGGATCGTCCAGAGACAACGGCCGTTTTTTCTTCTTTTTTTTCAGGTTATTTCTGCAAAGCACTCGAGAGCTCGGCGCCTGTGAGACTCGGGGTAGGCCACCCCGCAGTACACGCATGCACTCCAGGCAAAATGTTGCCTACCCACGAGGCGCTATAAGAGGTCTGGAGCTTGCAGAGGCTGAACTTGGTAGTTTCGTGGCGTAGTTCTCTCTGGATGATTACCGTGCATATGGGTGCGATTTAATGGAAAAGTAGACGACGGAGTCGATGGCAGGAACAATTCGAGGCGGAATGTAGACTATGACACCCCATGTGAGCCTTACTCTGACCCACCCCCCGGCCGCCCCCGCCGCCTCACCAGTGTGCCTAGAGGACTGCTTGCAACGCGGGGGCGGCGGGGGCGGATGCACGCCAAGCCGCGCCACGCTACATCGCACCCCGTGTCCGTCTGGCCGCAATGACTCATTGGCCCCGGAAGACAAGCGCCTCCGGATGCAGAGGTGCGGGGGGCGGGACAGGAGGAAAGACAGAAAGGAGGAGAAGGAGGAGGAGGAGGAGGGGGGTAATCGCCACCGCTCCGGCCTAGTGTGGGCGTATCGGGGGGAAAAGAATCATAGCCTCAGCGTACCAAACACCGCACCCGGCGCTGATCTCGCAGCATTACCATCAACACTACCAACGAAGCAGTTTCTACCCGCCCTTTTACAAAAGCACACAAAAAGTCTAGAGCGCCGGGCTGTGACAAAAAGATTGGCGGAGAAAGAAGTGGCCGCCGAGAGGAAGAGGGTGGAGGGGGAGAGGGGTGTTCTGTTGAGGACCAGCGAGAAACTCTTGGCATGGAGGCGGCGGGGCGGCAGGGCGTATGTATCATTTACTCTCTCCTTACAGAACTCCCGCGCGGATGGAGGGAGAGGGAGGGGGAGTGGGGCAGCGGAGAGTCCCGCGATGAAGAAGAAGAGCGGTCCATTAAAGAGGGAGGGCAGGGGAGGGCGTAACTGCCGCTCCGGCCCCCGGTCTGGCCGGCGCTGCTGCTGCTGCTGCTGTCCAAAGGTCGCGGTGGGGCGAGCAGCGAGTAGTCTGTGGGTTAGAAAAGAAGCTGATGGCCGCGAAGACTGACCACTGGCCAGCCACGCCGCCACGGGGTGGGTCAGGCTGATCAACTCGCGACGAAAGAAGGTGCGCCGCATTACATTACAAGCGGAAGTTGACCTGCTGGGTAAGATTTTCTCTCACCCTCGCCTCGACACACGCCGTTGATGTCCGTTTCCTGTCCCAACGAGGCCTTTCCTCCCCTTCATACCAACCCCACCTCCCCGCGCACGGCCCGCTGGCGGGGGCAGAGCAGCAGCAGCAGCAGCAGCAACAGCGGCACACGAGCAACAGCCGCTTTAGAGAGCGAGCCGGAGCAGAGGCAGAGTAGGGGAGGAGGAAGGGGTT